ATACCAAACACGAAAAGCCAAGTGAAGAACTGAGACATGCATGGGCATATGTGCACAGGCAGGAAAAATAAATTCCCAGAGCAATTTAATTGTAACACTCAAACACCAAGTGAAGCTGATTGAGGGCAGACTACAGAAGAGATCAGGCTATGGAACAGAGCTCCTAGCACTCAGGTTGCTTGATGCAGGTTAAAACATCACTGATGGCTGTTTCACCCTCTGACTCACTAAATTAACTCCAAATCCATTTACCAGTATTGCAGCTTAAGCCCTCCAGTTTGGTCTTGGTCTTCAGCGGTTTCTTCTAATTGAGTTTCTAGTAATTACCACAAGGCTAATGCATTGTAAGTGCCTTTTAAATCAAGGGTAAAGATTTTGTTTCAGACTACAAGTGCACACAATGATTGCATGCATCAGGACATAAGAGAAGCTGTGGGATGCATGGGAATAACAGATCCATCACACACTTTTGTGACAAGGAGCTCACATCCCAGAGAGAGGATGATAGTCTGTCACATGGCCTTGAAACCCCAACTTGCCTACCCCCTTAATCTGTGACTTTGATTCTGTCTGCCAAGCAGAGATAACCTGGCTGACATGCTGCACAGGGCCCTTTGATCTGTGCTGGCAAGTTTTATAACAAGGAATGGGCTGGTTGGATAAATACACTTGAAGCTGAACAAATTAGCTGGTTGCCAGTTTCTTACCATAACCACTAAAAGTACAGAAATAAATGTGATGACTTTGTAAAATATCATGATGGGATAAATCCCTCAGGCCTCTTGTAATCCCAGCAGTTTTTCAACTTTGTTGTGATGGTCAGGAGAGAGTGAGAGGGACCTCCCAGGAGTCACCAGTAAACACATCACTCCCTTACCCTCATGAAGTTGCCCAAGACGTACCTTCTCTCTGAAGACTCCTTTAATTATGCTTTAATTGCCTTATTAGCTCTGGCTATTGATGGAGGAAGGAAGGCAGAGAGAAAAAGGTCAAGCAAGGAGAAGAGCTGGAGAGGAGGAAAGATAGCAGGCCAAATTAACAAGGGGCAGTCAAAGAACTAGAGGACACAGATGTGTATACACACACAAATATGCAGAGAAAACTCATGCAAACATATATGTGCAAGGAGCCGGTTAGTGCAGGTGAAAGTGAGGCCATCTCCTGTGGGAAAAGGTTGTCAGGCCTTATAAAACACAAAGATAAGATGGAGCACAGATACATGACTACTCATGTATCTGCGCTCAGGCAATTGACCCTTTATGCTGACCTCAGTACAGCAGGGGAGATGGACAACATAGAGGAGAGAGCTGAGAGCGAGAGGATCGGCAACAAGAAATGATGAATGAGAGGAATGTGGAAGAGGGGGAGACGAGCAGGTGGAGGAGGAGTTTCAAAAGCAAGAGAAAGAAGAGAGTAAAGAAGGAGAAAGCCATAGTAAATATTCTTCAGAGGACACACAACACACACCGCTCCTGCTGCCATACCTGCCTTTTAAAATTCATTGCATGGGCCTGGGTTGCTAGCTAATTTCATTTTCAATTTGTATTGTTGACAGTGATCTTGCGAACATCATAGCTGGAATTTGTTATTTTCATTAGCCTGTGGCTAGCAATATCCGTTTCAGTTGCTGTTACAAAGAACAAAAAATTTGAAAGATGTGAAACTGGTGTCAAAGCCCAGCAAAAAACACATCACAAAAATAAAACTAACATCTGTTATACAGAGGCAACAAGAAAAACAGCTGACATTTTTTATCACTGCTGTAGGCTTTACCAATCCATCTGTTGCTATATCCAACTCTACCTAGTGAAGTGTTACTATAAAAGGATGCCAGTGGGAGTGAGGTTTTCATAGGAGCATCTGCAGAGGCAATACAGAAAGTTACCTTTCCCACTTTAATATCTCCTCTTCATCTGCCACCCACAGCACACACTTACATACAGTATGCATTTCATAGCTGTAAACGGAGAAAGGAAGCCATTGTTTGTGTTGATTTGCATATATGTGCACTGTGTGTACTCTGCCATGCACATGCTAATGTGATTGTACACCTTTGCACTGTAAGTGTGTACCACCGGGTTTGTTTGTGTACATGTGAGGCTGAATCAATCCATCAGGGAAACGGAGGAGTGTTTCTTCCTTTCCTGCACGTCGTTCCCCAGCCTCATTAGAAGCCATTCAGTCAATCAAGCATGAATCCCTAACACAATAACATGCAAAGTGCTTTGTCTGGGTGTAATTGGCCTTGCCAGAGCTGTTTTTCTCAAACTGTTAGCTTCACTCCCCTCTCTCAGACCTCAGCCAAGAGCCCTGTCCAAGAAATGCAGCTGGTTAGAGGCGGATGGAAAGATGAAACCAGGAGGAAAAGAAACCGGGATAAGCAAGGAAAGATTAAAAAGAGCAATGGTCTCCTCTGTGGGTTCATTTTTGAAATATATAGATAGTATAAAGTACTTAAGTCATTTTCATGTTCTGCTCCTATTCACATGTTCACCTTCTCTGCATTTTGTGAGGATGTATGTGTGCACATGTGTAAGGATTCATCAGTACTGTGTGCTGTCATCCAGAACTCCTGTCTGTCACAATCATACATTCCCCATTACATGACAAACCAGCTGACATCCCGTTTCCCCAGATGCATATTAAACCAGTGCACATGCAAGGAGCTGCACACATGCACGCACACAGAAAGGCATATTGAGAGACGGTTAACACTTCAGCACAGAAATGGAGTGCCATCTGTATCTTTAGGAGAGACTGTTTGTTTGCTAGAATGGGTGACATAGCTGACTGACACTTCCCTCCATTCCATGTGACTATATGAATGTTTGTATATACTATATGTGTGTTATGTGTGATTCCATGGAGATGTGAATCAAAGGATCAGAGTTTAAACCAGATCTTTGCATGACTCCAGCCAGGCCACAGCACCCCAAACTGCTGAGATAGCCATCAGCAGTCAAGTGCTGCCATCTAGTGATGTTAAAAAGAGTTTCTACTAACACCAAAACCGGCCCAGAAACGATAAGTGGCTTAACGTGGAAAAGGTCACATTACTGGGAAACCAAACTTAAGATGTAGAAAATCTGAACACTTTAGTGATTGAGGAATTTGAAATGTACACAGCAGGATCACTGTTGTGTGCGTTTCCTTAATCAAAGCCATGAATTCATCATCCTACCTTGCTTCCTGCGTCTTTCTCATTCCGCCTCCCTCAGATCAATAGTTTTGTTTGTTCCAGAAACACCTCTCAGTGTTTTTTACTTGTCCCTCCATGCTGGAAGCAGATTGAGCATCCTGTCCTGTGCTGTGGTTGTACTGTGAATCAAAAAAGTCAAATTAATTTGCCTAATTGGTTTCCTTGTGAAGGGTAAAACAGATTTAAATTGATTACCGGTAATGGCCTTTTGTGGAACCATACTGGCTTCTGCTGTTTGAGGAGGATTTAGCAAAACCAATTAATTTGCCTCACCTCTTGTGGGCCCTCCTTCTGTCTCCCTTTGTCTTTTTCTGGAAGCTTTTTCATCCTTTATTTTTTGCTCCCTTCAGTCTCACAAAAACGAAAAGGATGATGATGATAATGTCACAGGATAACAGTAATTCAGGCCTAATTGGCTCAATACTGTCCTTATGTCAGTGCTGATATGATGGCAGCAGTGGGTTGTTTTTTTTTTTACAGGTCTACTGTTGCTAGACTCACCTGACAAAGTAATTTGAATCTCTCTTTCAATTACTGCGCATGTTTGCGTCCACATGGCAGCTCTCTTTGCTGCTGCTGCTGCAGCTGAGAAGGGAAAAAGTAAGACGTCAAGGGCACCTTTTGTCAGACAAGCTGATTAAATCCTTAATATGCCCCCTCCCCCTCCCCTGTGCTTTGGTGTTTCTCCACCTCCCATCAAATATTAACACAACCTGACCTAATGTGACATTTAGAATGGGCAAATTACAAGCACTTAATGTGATTTCATTAATTACATTGGGGCAACTATTGTATATGATTAAAACAGATGTTACCCACCTCATGGGAAAAGGAGAGTTCTTTCTCAGATGACTTTTATGAACAAAGTCGATGTTTTTTGTTTGTTTGCCATCTGAGCTAACAAAAACTACAAAGGCAGCAGAAAAGACCGAAGAGAAGCTATTCCTTTACCATTATGGAGAACGGCCTTCCCAACACTTTAATCTTTGGCCTGAGGTTTGAAAAGTCCACCGCAGCTGTTGTTATCAGAAGCAGCAACTGTGTCTAAACATTACAGTAGACTTTTTGAACAACAAACACGCTTGTTTTTGGTGAATAATTAATGTGGAAACTAGTATAAGCCAGATAAGATACAAAGCCCCAGGATATGAATGATAAAATCTGTTGAAAACAATATGTTATGACTAAATGCTGAACTTGTCTTCTGGCAAAATGTTCCACTGACTGCAAAACTACAAGAAAGGAAGTACGTTTATAATGTTAACCCTCCCCCTTTATGCATTTTTGCACAGAGAAAGGAGCTAAAGCGACTTCATGTGCACTCATCTTCATTTCATTTCATCATCCTTTCACAGTTTATGTTGATGTTTAACTTTGATTTTTGATCTTTTATCACCTTTTACAATAATTTCCTGTATCTGCTCCAGAATCGAGCCTGTACGTTTTCATACCACAGTATCATCCTGCCGCAGCTGCTGCAAAGTTTTTCGCGATACCTGTTGTGAGCTGCATATAGGCAATAGGGAGAACTCTTTTTGGTGTTCCCTCACCAAACAACAATACATTACCAGCACTACCTGCACTATGCTAAGTGCTTTTAATCAAATAAAACAATTAGTTTTATTTGATTAGTCTTGACTGACTACTGTTTCACTTCTGTGCCATGGAAGCAACTTATTATCTAAAAAATACTGCCCTTAATATACACCACAGAAAATCAGTCCCAGTAATATAGTGGTGCCAAGACAAAGTAAAAAAAAAAAAACTCAACACATTTATTTTTTTATCTCTTTATGTAAAGCATTTTATTTCTTTACATTTATTTACAGTATTCATAAAAGAAAGTTAGTCTATTAAAGTGCCTCTGGGCACAAAGAGACTCTGTCCCATTAACTTAAAAGGAACAAAAATAAGACATTTTGTTCCATAACTCAGTTTTGTTCTAAAATTAAAGTGAATTATGTGCCATCATTCTCCTCGTCACTGAGGGAAGGCCTGGACCTGCAAATCCAATAAACATGAACAACAAGCAGTTAATGGGCAATAAACTGCAGGGTGCAAGCACACATATTTTCAAACACATCTGTTCAGTCACCCAGAAGTTTAACTTGTTTAAATAGCACTTTAAATAGGTTGTGGTCATAAAAGAAGGAACAAAGAAAGGCTGCTCGGTTTCTCCTCACCTGCTTAGACCAAGGGGTAGCTGGATGCAGTAGCAATGCCACACTGGTTGTGTTTGTTCCTGCTCATCATGATGTATCCCTTGTCTCCCCACGCTAGACCCCAGCTACAGAAACAAACAAATTACCAACAATATTCTGCTGCTGGACTTAAAACAGAGTTGTTGCCTCAGTATTAGTTATACCAGCACTTAAAGACAATGATCTGCATTCAGATAGAACAGAAATTACTTTAAGAAGTTTTTGAGTTTCATTTCATTTTAGCAGCTACAAAAAAGATGTCTGTAAAAACAGCAACTTAGCTTTTTGTCTGCACCACTGAGTGTTGGCAAGGATGAAGCACATAAATTAAAATATGAACTGCAGATTTTGGTATTTACCTGTTCTTGACCAGCCAGTAGTCCTTTCCTTCTTCAGTGCCATAACCCACAGCCAGTACACCATGGTCCAGATCTGTGCTGCTACACTCCATCTCATCATACACTCCTAGAAATGTACACAAACACGAGTGGGACAGACATGCATATAGGTTTAAAACAGAGTATTTCCCGTTTCTTCTCAAATTTGATAAGAACATTTCTCAGCAGAGTCAACACTGTGTTTAAAACTGTTCACCTGATTGATAAAGCTGGAAGGACATTGAAGAAGCATCGATGCCAACAGACACAGGTCCGATGGTGGCCACAGCCTCCTTCAGGGCATCTTCATCACCCTCTTTCACATCAACATAGCCTGTACATGTAGCACCAACTGCAGCTGGGTTGTACCGGCACTTTCCATCCTAGATGAGAGAAAGTGTTTCACAATTTATTTTTACCTTCCTGACACATTATAATACAGTAGTAGTGTGTAGGTTTACACCAGAGAGCAGTAGCACATTCTCAGAAAGTTTACTTTTGAGGTTCCAGTTTAAAATGGTGAAGTCTGAACTAGATACTGTAGGATTTGTACTGTCTATACGGGTTTAGTTGTACAATACATTGTGTCCACAAGATGGCACTATTGCACATGTCTGGCACATTTGGACATTGATGATTTTAATTTGCACACAAGACTTTAGCTGCAATAATAAAGGCCACCTTCTTATTTCTAGTAGTGTAGTCTGAGCTCTCTCCCGCTGTGCTTTGATAATGACAAATAGCTGTCTCAGACTCTTTGCTGTAGCTGCAGTTAAAAATTCATCCACAAGGAATTATGTGCAATGGTTTTATCAAACAAACTGCTTTCTTTTTACCTGAGCCTCATAAGTGTAGGACTCTTCTGTGTCAATCCCTCCGTTGTCTTTGATGTATTGGAAGGCATAGTTCATCAAGCCTCCCATGCAGCCCATGTTGCCATAGTCACCCGAGCAGTCAACCAGCTGCTGCTCGCTCAGGGACACCAGCTTCCCTGTCTTCCTGAAGTTCTGACCCTCGAGAGCGCCAGTCTGGAAGAAAGATAACTGAATTTGTAACCAGGAAAAATCTGTGTAAAATCAGCTGCATTACTAGAACAAGCAAGGTTGGACGTACGGCACTGAAGGCCCAGCAAGAGCCACACTGCTTCTGATCCTTGACTTCAGTGACGTATCCCTTGTCCCTCCAGTCAACAGTGTTTGGCAGATTGGTGCTTTCAGGCAGCCGGAGGAACGCAGAGCCACGGCGAGGCAGAGAAGCATTGAAGGATCTCAGGCATCCCTGAGAAATCAGGCGTTTGTACTCCTCGTTTTCCTAGTGTGGAGGGACAAAACGTCATTCACTATATCCTCACAAGCTAAACCAAATCATACTGATGGCATTTAATCCATACATTGAGCCAGTGGTGAAATTTGAAAACTAAGTGATGGCAGAAGTAGACACATTTGTTTTCTGTGCATACCATGTCAGCAAAGTAGGTCATGCCAAGGCGATAGGACTTGATGCCTTGATCTGCCATGATGTTGTGCACCAGCACCAGTCTGCGGTTCCTGAGCCAGATTTGCCTCCGGTGAGCTTCCTCTGATGGTGAACTGTAGAACCTTTCTGTCAATCAGAGAAGGAAATAATGAGAAAGAGAACAGAGGTAAATGATAAATTATTAATCAATTAAACCCCTTTTCCATTTCCCTTCATAAACAAAACATATGCCTTAAACTTTTAAATGATATTTACATGTGTTTAAATGAGTACACATTACTACCCTAAATTTGGGTCTTCTAAACAATATCTTTATAAACAAAAGAATAACATCTACTGGATTTGACAAACTATCACAGTAAAAAAAAAAAAAAAAAAGATCAGTTTATACTGTCTCACCAAACTTGAGTTTCCAGGCGTGGAACTCCAGGTCTTCCAGAGAAAGGCTGGCACAGCTGGCCACAGCCAGAGCAGCAGCAGCAACCAACAGCAGCTTCATCCTGTCTGATACACAAGCAACACAGGATGAGACTAAACATAGACTGAACTCTTTCGCTAAACATTTTATGTCATGAAGTTGGCTGTCACGTGCACTCTGCCACTGTTACCACCTTTATTTCCTGGTTTCTTTGAATCTCTTTCAGTTTTCTTTTAAATTCTTATCAGGTTCTTCTTTCCATCGTTGCACCTGTGCTACAGGAGGTGTGTGCTTAGCCATTTGTAAGCGTGTCTGTCTGAGCCGCAGCTACTTACCAGCTTCGATGTCGATGTGTGCAGTCAGGTTTGAGGTATAACCACTTGCAAGTGATGCAGGGGTGTGTTGTTCTTATATCTATAGCTGACTACAGTTATGACTCCCTGTATAAAGTGTCAGGTGACTGTCAGCAGCCCATAAAGCCACAACGAAAGAGAGGCAGACAATCATTCACTGAAAAAGCTTACAAAGGACTTGTTTGCATGATGACTTTCTTCTGGGAAACGTTTTTTTTAGTTCATACAAGGACACCAGCATCTTCCTATCCTGCTGACTTGTTTATGAAGGCATGATCAGTTACTCAGCAGTTTCCCAGTTAGGCACTTTAGCATCATAAAACAGAAGGAACTCAGTGTCTTTTTGTTAGTTTGATGACTTCATGTGAGAAACCACTGCTGGGATTTTGTGTCCTCTCCACTGATCTGATTCCAGTCACATATAGTGGTGGAGGTTCCTCTCTAAATAAGACAACCGAAACAAAAACAGAAAAACAATAACACGTGCTACTGTTTGCTTCAAAATCTTACTAGCTAAATTATACCACAATGGAAAATAAGACTGTACTTGACTGACTTGCTTTAGTTTCTCAGAAATGAAGGTGAGACTTTAGCTAACACCCACATACTGTAGGTTATTTACCTGAATGATTAACATTTATTTGAAATAGTTTCCCCATCTTTACTCCTTTAGAGCGCACGAGGGACTAAGGAATTTTAGAATATGTGTAATCAGAGATAGAAACAAATGTGAGCTCAAATTCACAGTCCCACAGGAATGTTGAATTTTTGACAGTTAATTGCCTCAAATGTAAAGATTTTCTTTGGAGTACATTTAATTCTGAGGATAAAGAATGAGATTGTGAAATATTGTTGGAAATCAGTAATACTTGTAAAGCTTATCATAAAAACACACACAACTGCATACAAATTTCAAATTGATTACATTTTTCTCTGCGTTAAATATAATGTCATTATGATTCATGACTGTTTCCATTTACCGATAGTCAAGAGTTCCTTCCACACACACACACATCCTGTTTTTAATATGACTGTAAAGTTTGAGTTGTTCAGCAAAGTTTCCCATCCGTCATTGTCAGGAACATGAATGTAAATATTATTTTGCAGTTACATACACAGAAGGAGAGACTGAGCAACTATGAACAAGCAGAAACATTAACAGATTTTTTTTTTTTTTTACCAGGGAATTTATTTATTTTTAATCAGTTTAAATTGATTAAACTCATTTAGAAACATGTCTAAGCTTGGTATAGCATGGTAGCGCACGGCAGTTATGTTGTAACTGCTGGTTGACTGTCTCCTTCACCCCTTTTACCTCCCTGTTTTTGTTAAATGACTTACTGTCACAAGGCTTTCATTATGAAACATAAACCCATAAAGATGCTGTGAACAGACAAAAACCTGAGAGCTAAGCTAAATGTTTAGATGTCACTGAACTCTTAAAGTTGTCTTGTGCCTCTTTGTGATCAGCTTCCTGTATACAGTTTGTGGTGTTCAGACTCATTCTTGGGTTCCTTCCTATGAGAAAAGTGCAGGCAGTTTGCCTGCTAATAACTCCTACAACTGAAAACAATAGAAACATAGACCTAGTGAGATTCTACCGCAGTTTGGCATCATTTTAAATGTTATATTCCTTTTAAAGACTGGCTCATAAAACAAACAAACAAAAAAAAACAACACAGAATTACTTACAGATTGTTTACTTAAGTAAAAGTATGAATACTACCTGTTTACTGTAAAAACGTTCAGTTACAAGTAAAAGCCCTGCACTCACAGTCAAGTACTAGAGTATCATAAAAGTAATGAAGTATCATTAGTACTCATCTGTCAGAAGAATTGTCCTTGTGATATTATTGTTATATTGATAACAGCGATGTATTAATGTGTAGCTGGTCAAACTGGAGCTGTAATTAATTTACTTTATAAACAATGTGTCCCACACTGGACGTCAGGCCCTCTCCAGAGTGTCACCTGATGAATCAGAGGGTATGTGAGCCGATTAATGGGTTGGTAAACACGGATCTATGATTACTTTTTGGACTTTTTCCCAGTTTTTTTTTATTTTTTTTATTTTATTTCATGAAATGAATACTTTAATCTTTTTCAACCGTAAAGGGTCACTTTAATGAAACCATTGGAGAAGTTAAAGAACATATCACACTATGGTAGAACTGCTAACAGTAGACATCTGAAATGTAAGGAGAGGCCCCCTAATGTGCTCTGTTTTTATGTGGTCATGTTAAAAACGTACTGGATGTATTTAAAGTAAAATCTTAATGTGAAAAGTACTATAATAATCACATCATGTCAGATAGATATAGTAAAGTAAAAAGAACAATATTTTCCTGTTGAGTAGAATAAAGTAGCAAAGTAAAATGACATATTCACTATATACTCAAAGTAAAAATACTCAAAATACTGCAGTACAATACTGAGTTTTTTTTTCGACTATTGCAGTTGACCAGTTGATGTACATGGAACTTGCTTATCACAACGAAACTAGACGATTATGTAAATGCAGTGAATGTGACCTAACTGGAAAGGTGGAAGAAATTGTGAGAAAAAGGAAGTGTGTGAAACTAAGAAGTACAACCTCACTGAGTTTGTGACGTTCCTGGTACAAGAAACCATTTACAACATTCAAGTGATTTGTGATTCAGCACAATACACAAATAAACTGCTTAAGTTCAAAGATCAAGGTTTGTGTGTGGCTTCGTGCATAGCATTGAGAAAGAGCTTCAGGTAAACCATATGTATTGAGTATATAAATACATGTACCTATGTGTGTAAGGGTTAACAATTTGTTTGATTGCAAAGTCAAACAGAAACCAAGTGCACAGAAAAAGAAGGTACTCTTGAGTTAAACTACCACTTCCACATTGTGTGCACATGTTTGGTTGCATGGCTGTTCCAACCTGCATGTGACAGTCATGATGGCAAGCCTTTGTTTACTGCTTTATGCATCCAGTAAACAGAATGACTGTCAGGTTACAAAACTTTTAGAGTAAATTTTGAAGAATTTTTGTGGAGACATTTTACCAAGAGTTATTGACACTAAATGTGGGTCAGCATAGACCTTTGTCTTACTGTAAACGGTGACACGTTCAACACCACACCTCAAAGAATCGGCCGAAGTGCTGGGTAATGTTGGGGACTAATAGCACTCATCATCTACCTGCGTACAGTACATGAGGAAAACAGAGTTTGTGTTGTAATTGTTTCACAAAACTACTTTTCATCAAAAGTAAGCCCCCAGTTGCCAGGCGGTCACATGCACTTTCATGCATTTTCAAAACCTTGCTTTCAGGACCCATTCAACAAAATGGTTACTTAGCTGAGGCAATCATGAGCAATTTGCATTGGTTTGCTGTTTTGTCAAGAACACTAACTATTAATAAAGCCAAAATAACCTCACATTACATCTGGAACTGCACGTCCTGTACTGAGTGAAAATACTGGTCAGATGTTTGTGGGTTTGATTTTAAACATTTTCATTAAAAGATTGAGGTGATGCTGTAACAATGTATTTTGTCACTGGAGAGAGTGAATGAATCTTTGGAATTTTTGAGTCAGCTAAGTGTTATCAAAATACCAGTAGAGGGCGCCATTTACTTAGGCTTAGGAAACTCTCAGGCTCAGTGGCCAGTGTGAAAGGTAGTAAGATTCTTGGCATGACCAAACTGAGAGGAATCCTACCCCTGGTAAACTTTTCTAATTTCATTACTCTACAGGTTTCCACAGCTTAGAGCCAATCACATAGTTGGCTGCTCTGTAGTGGAGGTCACACATAACACACGCTAGAATGTGACAGTGGCTGAGAATGACATACCTTAGCACATAATCTGATTATCCGATCAATAGCACAGTAATATTTGGTGCATAGCTTGGATGACTTGCCTCTTCTCTGGTTACACATTGCTAGCATTCACCACTTGCTCCCTCTTTAAAAGTGACAAAGTGTGAATACAAGTGGGAATTAAAATGGAAGGCTTTTTAAATAAGACGAGTCATACAGTGTAACCTTGATCACATCTGGCTGTGCTACTATTTCTAGGATTCACACATCTAGTTAAATATCAACACACTCTATACAATCAGTTGGCACACCTAGGTACACCTAGCTAAAACTAATACCGTTTAATACAACTGTTCTGCAGTAAATCCTCCCGTTGTGAAACTGACATTGTTCAGTTTTAATAAAAACTGAGTAGACAGTTGTTGATTCAACTGTGCTGTCATTCTAGAGCCTGTAGTTTGAGGTGCTATCGAACTATACTGTATTCTATGGACAGTGGCACAAAGTAACGAATACATTCACTCAAGCACAGTACTTAAGTACATTTTTGAGATATTTGTGCTTTACTTTTTTCTTTTTCTGGTACTTCACACTTTGACTTCAGTAAATTTTTTAAGCAAATGTTGTACTTTACTAGATTTATTTAATAACTTTGGCTACTACTGCAGTTGTTTTTCAGAATCAGATTAAATATACAAAATACTGTATAATCAACTGACTTTATTGACCCCTGGTGGATAATTCACAAAATACCCAGCAGTACTTCAAATTATAAGCATAAAAGGCGACTAGAATGAGGACTACATTTACCAGAAACAGCATTACATGATGTACACAGTAATGTCAACAACAATAATCCCATTATTTTATACGTGTGTGTGTATGTATGTATATCCGTTACTTCAATAAAAACCACCCGTTCCCTGCTTGGCCCTAACATGCATTTAATTAAAACTTTTGCTAAAGAGGATTATTTCACTAATTGTGTCTCCTTGTTCTTACAGTATATTGTTCTAAAACATTGCTTGCAAGTCAACATTACATTGCAGAAACTGCTTTCTTTTTTTTTACTGCTTATATCTTCAGGATACATTATAGCTGCTCAGGTAAAACCCACCAGGGTCAAGTAGGTCAAGTAACTATCCCAGCATTGTTTCCAGGACAACGTTTGAAATACAATTCCATTTATTTAAATGCTATGATGCAAAAAAATGGAAAATGGTTACAAATAATATGAAATATGATGTGCTGGACACAAATGAAACTTATTATCAGCTAATAATTATATACTGTACAGTTAGCACTTAATTTTACTGTTGATGATGCATTCAAATTGGAATTGATAATTTCTCATCTCAGCCAAGGAATTAAACAGTATGCAATTTATTTTACTCTATAGTATCTTTATCTGATGGACTTTCACTTGTAACTGAGTATTTTTATGCTGTGGCATTGTTACTTTCACTTAAGTAAACAATTTGAATACCTCCTCCATGATATGACGAGGTGTTTCTGTTATTTAGCTTAGCCTCCCTGGTACAAACACGGTGGACAAAACACTAGAAACACCTGTTAGTATAACACAATGCAGGCCGGCAAAATCACAAACTACATCTTCCAAAATGATCATAGAGTTGAATCAACACCTCTCTAAAACTATTTTAAGAAAACCTGAACATTATCACCTTCATGAAGGGAGTGTTTATTGCAGGACTCTGGTAGTAGACAGCCTTAATTTGTAATGTTTAATTTGTAATAAACTACCAACTGAGTGTATAGGGCCTGTAGAATCAGAAACAGTTCTAAAATCTTCAATCAAGCCTCTTTTGTCTATCAAGTGCATTCTGCCTAATACCAAGGCACAGTTCTTGAAGCCAGTATAAGTATTTATCCTCTGGAAGTATTTATTTCTCTCTGCCCAGCTACATGTACTTTACCTCCAATATTATTACTTACATCAAACAAACTAAACATACAGGAGATGTGACAATTTACCATAAAAATATTTATTGACTTCACCATCTTTTGGGCACAAAAATGAGAAATGACACAAAACACAGCCCAAAAATATTTAGAAAGTCCAAATTCAAACATCTAAAAATGACACAGAAATAAAGAACTGAAATGAAACATCGTCAGATTGAAAGAACACACTAGTTTAGTTTGTTCAGTGCAAACTATTTCTTAACGCAACCAATTTTTGATATGTTTTTGAGAAACTATCTTTATTCTCCACATAAGATTCCTTGACAGATGACTGAGAATCTCCATTTCACATCTTTAAACAACTAAACCAAAACATTTTCAGAACACGGGCCTAACCAAACATTTTATAAATACACATAAACACCAATAAATAGAAACACTTTATTTCAGAGAGCAAAATTACAGTATATAATAACAACCAAAAAAGGCATCATGACCATCACAAAGCATAAACCTCCATAACTGCTACTACTGTTTAGCACTGCATGTTGCATTTGTGAAATCCAGATAAACAGAAGATGGCAACCACTGTACCAACAAAAAGCATGAGACAGAGATAAACAAGGATGTTGGAGGAAAGCCCTGCTCGCTGTGATTCATCCCTCCATCCCTCCATCCATCCCTCTATCTCTGTCCTCTGCAAAAGTCCAATGTGAACCTGTCTTTCTCAGTCCAAACAGGTCACTGTAGCTCACACTTTGCCAAGGTCTGTGCTGCACCGGCAGCAACAGGAGAAGGAGTGGAGGAGAGGTGAAAAAGAGAGAGCAACAGCACAGATTATGGGCAGTGACACTCTCTCCATCTTTCTTTCCCTCCCCACCTCTGCTTTATCTCCATGGTGCACACACGTCAACCTGGAGCAAGGCTGTATACTGGCAGGGGAGGCCAGGAACAGAGAGAAAGGGGGTGGATAGATGAGGATGAAGTGTGTGTGGGGGGGATAAAGGGACACACTGCTTCAATAGCAGAGCAGGTCCAGGGACTAATTGGATCTGGTAATAGCTGGTCAATGTGACTAAAGGGCTCGTTAGAACCAGTACAGCTCCTTGCCTTTCTTATGCTGCTGGAGGCCTGAGAAAAAAGGACAAGGAAACAATGAGAAGGTCAACAGCAAACAAGAGAACACAGGTTGTCATGGAGCCTACTTTTGCCAAACATCCTGTTCTAGAGGGCTTCTGTGATGATTATGTATTGTGCCCATGTGTGTGTCAGCATGTGTGGGACTGGGGCCTGGCCTATTCAACATTACAAGTGTATGCATCTGTGCTTGTGTTACCTGCAGAGGTTATTACAATGGTTGAAAATTGGTGCGTATATATGTGCAAGGTTGTGTGAATTGTTGCTATAACATTTTTTCTGTGTTTGATTAAATAGTACCAATACTCATAATTCAGAATGCACAGGGTGATGTGTTATAGCAAATAATAGGGGAAGACAGTCTAAACTGTACACTGCAGAATTTCAAGCATGATCTCACTATGTGTATCATGTACAAGTACAGTATAGAAATTGTTTGCAAAACCCTGGCATATTTGAGTGGGTACCTGCATCCATGTTGAGTGCCAGAGTCTGGCTGACGTCTCCTGGGGGAATCAGGCTGGGCCAGGAGGCAGTGGGTTCCAGTTTGCTCACATCATAGTGGCTTGGCAAGGTAGGGAGATGAGGTGGCCTCACTGTAGGCATCAGCAGGGGCCCGTAGTGGGGCTCCAAGGCTGATGGTGAATACAGTTCATGGAGAGGCCTTGGGGGCCCATAGGCCTGGGCCTGGGGGTATCCCCAGCTCTCTGGAGGATGAGGATGGGAGTGAGGATGAGTATGTGGGTGAGGATGAGGATGTGGATGAGGCAGGCCTGGGTGTAGCCCTGACGCGTATGGGTCCATTGAATAGGAGGGTGTTCCCGTTTCACAGCGGGAGCGACTTTGAGGTGAAGAGTAGTTACTGTCCCAGAAGGATGGGGGGAAGTTTCGTCGGCTGCTGGGTGAAGGGGTTTCTAATGGAGGAGGGCAGGAGAGAATGGGAAGGAGGACAGATAAGGCCAAGTCACAAGCTGTTGCACAACTGTGCAGTGAATCACTTGATTTATAGAGACAAATGGAAAGGCTGGACCTGTGCAAGCGGAGCAACTCGTGCTAAAGCATAGCTGTCACTCACATGACTGCTACACCCTCAGTCCAGATATCTTCCTCATTGGATCATACTGTCATACAGCTCTAACCCCAACAAGACACACAAATAAACACAACGGTGTTCTAGCAGACAGAGAGAGAGAGAAAGGTAGAAAGAGAGGTGTCCCTATATCCTAGAATTCTATATAAGGCAGATGCTCTAACCTGGAGGGCGTTCAAAGCTCATAGAGAGTTAAATCACTTGCTGTGGTGACATCTCTCACTCTTATGTTGGCCCAGTACTTCTGAAAGTCTCAAGCATACTCACGCAAACACACATGCAGCTCTGGCCCTGTGCTTTCACCCACACTGCACCTCTTTTCAGCCTCCTACACCCCCACCTGTTGTTTTCTCTATTCCCCACCCCCTCCTCACCCTTGACAGAATGTCAGCAAGCCATTATATGTTTTTAGCTGTATATTTTTATATTTAGATGTTCGTCTGAAAAAAGACACCATGTGGCACCCTGAGAGCTAGTCTTTCCCTCTGCCCCATCACACAGACCACAGAATATATAAATCTGACTGGCAGGCGGGCAACTGACTGAGCAGCCATTGTGGGACAAGAGCTGGAGCGAGTCAGAATGGCAGCCGCGGAAACGTTTGAAGGGGATACGCCAGCGAGGCTGTGCGCTTACGGCCATGTATAAACATAGCATCTGTTGTGAGGCAGGAAGTGTTGGTGCCAAAATGAAGATGCCCGACTGAACTAGGAAAGAGACTACCAGTGACAGCAGAGAGAGGGAGAGAGTGGAGGCTATAGGCCCTACATGGATATTCAAGGGATATCTGCTGGCTGCTGGTAAAAAGGGACTTACTGTAGGTTTCTTCAGAGAAGTTGGAAACTACAAACAGTTTTTACTTTGCATTTTGGTGCATCCACAATAAAGCTAAAACAAATAATATAAACATTCAATGATACTGCTAATTTTAAGCTTTTGTCATTATTGTTTTTTGCTAATAAGATAATTCACAAAAGCTTTATAGTATCTCACAATTAATCCCGGCAATGTTTGTCAAGACCATGTGATGCCTAAACATCAAGTCCAAACGTCTTGCTCCTTCTTGCTTTCCTTTAAATCTTTACCCTCACTAGAGTCAAAGAAGTTCCCTTTGCCAACAGCTCCTGACCTTCATGACCTCTGACCCCTGCACTCTGATCTCTGCAGAGACAACAGATCCAACAAGTGGCCCTTATGTCCAGTCACCTGATCACATCGCCTGTCTTAAGCTCTGCTGTGTTCTGTCAATCAAAAAGCCCTAGAGAAGTGCACATGATGTCGTGCAGAATTGTGGCACCTGTGCTCTCAGAAATAAATGGAAGTTATCAAACTTCAGGGATGCAGTGGAACAGAAAACTCACCCAGCTCTTTTCAGACTTAAATTTGGTGTAAACATGATAGTATGTCAGTTTAACTGGTACAGTAATATTCAGACTGGGTCCCTGATTATTTTCATGAGACAAATGACTGATTTTGTAAAATATGTTAGTGTTTGTTTTTTATGTTCACACACATTACTCACAGAAGGACAGTTGTGCACTGCTATTTGTGTAAATAGTCCTTATATCTAGACTATGCAGTATACCTGTGCTCTGTTGGTCTGGCGCCTGTCGTTTCCCTTCCCCAACCATGTAAGAGCTGAGGGCCCTGGAGAAGTGCTCGTCCACCACACTGCTGATGTCTCCCTGGTAGTAGGTGAAGAGGACACAGCGGGAAGTCAGGTACTCTGCCTCAGGGGCCTCCTGCTTCTCCTTGGGGCCCTCCTCTGGCCTTGAAGCTGCAGGTGTGTAGGAGGAAGAGGAGGAGCTCGATGAAGATGAAGAGGAAGTTGATCCTCCAGTGCCTGGGCCCCCAGACATCCCTTTGAGACCCCTGGGAGTGTCCATAAAATCCGGGCAGTGAGGAGAAGTGCTGCTCAGACCTGTAGGAGCCTGTCGGGGGTGGGGGGTCAGAAAGAGGGTTAAGACAGGTGTTGTAGAGGACAGTTCTTGAGCTGACTATGACACATTTTCACCGAATGTTTTTCTTTGTGTGTGGCAGCACTGGCATGTATTGACGTGCGCGCTAGAGTGCATGCGTTAAGATATATATATATGTGTGTATATTTGGTGAATAGCGACTTTTGTGCTTGGTAAAAAGTACTGCAAACCTAGATTATCGTAAACAACTAATTAATTAATGCAAACGAATATTTATTATACAAACATAAATTACTTTTTAACCATATTTCCGTGAGTTTTTTTTTTTTTTTGCTTTTGCTTGCAAACTGCACAAATTAGCTGGTTGACAGTCATTCCTCACCTTAACGACCACCATCTCTCCGCTAACATTAATAATAATAAGTATCGCGGTAAACGTTTGCTCAGTCCCTACCTGTATGCTATTAATAAAAGCAGGAGCGGTCGGTGCGTACGGTGCGTAATGTCCATAGGCTGGGTACATAACATCCAAACAGCTCATGGTAAGTGAGCGATGTCTTCAAAGTTGTGCGGAAACCGACCTTGTTGAGGGAGCGAGCGACAACATTCCGTTTTTGCCAAAGTGAAACGAGATCGCTGTTCGTTGATCAATGTGTAAAAGCCCGTGCAAATTCTGACATAGTCACTGCAGAAAGAGCGCACCTCTCCGCTCGCCGAATGCGCCACAACAGCTGCGGTAGCAAAATGTGTTGAGGTTTATGGTGCAGGCACGAGGGTGTCCTGTCCTGTACATCTCTGTGTCAACCCCTCCCATGTTTACTAGCCTTCCACCCCCCACATCACCACCACCAACACTCCCACTACCACCACTACACAAATGACACAGATTGCAGACAAACAAATGAATTATTTTCTTTGATATTTAAATGATTTGGCTAACAGCTAAAAAAAAAAAAAAATGCCAGCAAATGATAGCCATCAAAGGTGGGAGTAAGTCATGTCATATTCTGAGATTGCACTTTTCCATTCAAATGCAGTAGGCCTATAGAACATAAGCACAAGTGTTCTCCGACAAACCGGCAGCAGCCTGTGACTAATTATGGCTCCACAACATCATAATCATGGTGTAAAATAAAGGTTAACTCGAATGTCATCCAGTTACTAAAATAGATTTGGATGAAGTCACTGAGCAAAGACCAGCTACACAACAATGAGCACATGTGATTCAGTGACTTTATATTTCTTTCCATGTCCTGTGGACACTCGAAAAGTTTGTGCTCAGTCCAAGCTTAAAACAGCCATCGGTTGCCAAGTAAATCTTGAAGTCATCTGAAGCATTTAGTGTGTTTCCCAGAATGACACATAGGTGTCAGCTACAGGTTGCATACACTGGTCGTACTAACACAGCGGAGAAGGAAAGTCCACACAAATCTATGACAAATTATCAGCAGCCAGCAGTGTAAACAAAATTATATTCTTTCTCTCTCTCTGTCTCACACACACAAACACACCCAGTGACAATCACAAACATTACGACGGCAAAGGCGTCATCATGCATCCATGTACAAATAAACTAAAACAGCATTCTGAAAACAGTAAACATTAAAGACAAGTTGGACACTTTCTCCATAAAGTGTCATCCGTTTTTCTTGCTTTACGGGTTTATAGGCGACTGGTGTTTGGGCATGCCAGTCTTTTTGACAGGCACTTCAGAATGCCTGGGAGAATAGTGTGGAAAATTTGCAGAATTCCATGGACGAGTGTCAGATGAGGTGGAATGTCTCTGATGTATGCTAGTGGACGAGCTCCTCAGGAAGTTACATCGTCCCTGCGTCCCTGCTGCGTTCTCTAGATGGAGAACATGACCAGCATCTCACTATGCATACATCACACATAGTATGAATAGTGGCAGGATATTGGCTTGCTAATGAAGCAAACATGCTTGTAAATTGCTATGGATAAAGCTGACATGCAGCATGTTTGTTCTCACTGTCTAGTCTAGTCTTGCATCACAATTTTGATAAGCTTATTTTACAGCATATCACTGCAGTATAATAGCATAAGTTGTACAGCACTGTATTGCATATAGCTGCAACAGAACATCAATAGTGTCAGTATCTAAAACAAACTAATGAATAAATTGACTTTGCAGATTCACTTTTTTAAACAACATAGTCATTATTGAAACACTAGTCCTACTTAGTCCATTATGCTCACAGCATTAGGTAGGATATCTGTATATATGCAGAGTAATGCAGGATAGTATTGGAGTCAGGGAGAAAGGGAGTGATGCAATGCTAGAAAGGTCACAGTTACACCAGCGTGATCAACAGCTGCAACTGATGGAAGGGGAAAGACGCCACTATTAGTATTACTAGCCATGGCTAGATCTCTTTCTGTCTGTCTCTTTCTGTCTCTTCCTCCCACTTGTCTTCCCTTGTGATACATAAAGATTTTCTTTATTTACTCACCCTGTCTTCCCCTGGAAAAGCCAGCCCCTACTGTGTTTGCGTGCGTGAATGTGTATATATAACACTTAGAATGGGTGCACACATTTGCACTGCAACACTTGTCATCAAGTGACCAAACTAGGAAGAGGAAAGAGACAACCAGCCTGCAGAAACATGGCAGTGATCCCAAAGTCCAAAACTCACTTAGTCTTTACATCTGTCTTTCTAAGCCATACTGAATTGTGCATGTTAAAGTCTTTGCATGTAAAGAATGGTATGTACAAAAATCTACAGCTGCTCCTCATGTGTGTGTGTGTGTACTTGTATGGTCAGCAGTGTAAGGACCAGTTTGAATTTTATACCATGGGAGCGAGGTTTAGGTTAGAGGCAAGGAAAGGGCTGGGGTTAGGTATTTAATGATGGTTAAGGTTAGGGTACGTCTCCAGGAAATGAATGTAAGTCAGTGTAATGTCCCCTGAAGTAATGGAAACATAATGTGTGTGTGTGTGTGTGTGTGAATATAGGTGTATGTGTGTCAACATTTACATATATATGCTGAAAATAAATACAGGTTACATCACTTCTTGTGACCCTGCAGCACAGCTAGGCCCTGCCCTCTTACAAGAGGTCTGATCAGGCAAAGGCTGTCATTGGCTGAGATGTTACAGGACCGGGGTAGTAATGGCAACCTGGTTTTATTTAGACCACTATTCACATTGCAGTACCACCATTAATAGTTTAGCATCTATGCTAGAAATACCTAAGTACATTAAAGTAACAACACATGCAATTTTATCAGCCCTTCAAATGACCATTAAAGTAGAACTGGTCATAATGTAAAAAGCAAAAGAAGAATCAAATTATGTAAATGAAAATCAGAATGATGTGATCAGTGAACTGGTGGTGGGCTTTAAAGTGTGGCTTGTTGAGATATGAACCCCAAACCATATAAGCTGCCTCCTGAAACAACAAAACCATTATTAAGGTCTGAGTCTGGCTTGGTCCCAAAGGGGTCAGACTATAGGATTCCACTGTTGTTTATATGCCTCAATGACTATGAATGTCTGTGTGTGTGTGTATATGTCCAAGACAGAGATGTACAGCTGTTCCACACAAACTCTCACCTGTTCAAAATCATCACTAAGTGTCATCCGAAACACACACACACACAAAGGGCCACATATGAACAGGTCTGGTTCATTCCTACTTCTACACAAATGTTGGTGATAAATCCTCTGTGATAGAATGTGCAACTGCGCAAGCTATTTTGTTCCTGAAACAGCTTCTTTATTGTCTACACAGAACATCAGGACTCCAGGTGTTCAGAGGCTCAGATCTAGAAGTCACTGAATATAAATACAGAATTTTAAGGATCATAGTCATTTTAGCTAGTTCATTAGAAAAGATATACTTTTCACAGTTCTACTAATTATTTTCCACAGCATACCTAGGCCATAGTTTTTACACTGATTAATGCATTTTTACTACCTATTTGGAAGTCATACATTTTTGTTTATGGCAGGAAAGTTTTACAACTATCTTGCAGGGGCATGAAACATGACTGAGGAAACTTTGTTGATGTAACAGTTTTAATGTTGTGGGGCAGTGGTGGCCAAAAGTTTAGAGAAGTGAGCTTGTAAGGTTGCCAGTTCAATACTGGGAGGGGCAGGATTAAATCCAGGTAGGACACGTTACAAAGCAGCACTTGCATCGCTCTCATTAACACAACTGTGGTGCCCTCGATCAAGGCCCGTAACCCCAACTGCTCCAGTGGAGCTTTTCAGTGGCCACAGGTCAGTCTGTGGCTGTACTGTGTAACTGAGTGAACACTGAGTGGGCCAACCCCAAAGCTAAAGCCTTGATTGTACAGAAGTATATGTATTTTATTGTGATAGAATTATTGTGATCCAACTGAAATGTTGCCATTTCTTTTTC